CTCAAGTGGACTGGCGGGGACAGGACAATTCTCAAATATGAGTGTGTCTTCTTCATCTTCCTCGATGCCGAAATGAGGACCAAAGGTGATTTCAGGATCACTAGAAATGTCTAGTGATCGCTGTGTGTCGTCCAAAACAATGACATCTGTGTAGTGGTCATTTTCACCCGAGACAAGATTAAACTCAAATATCTCTTCAACTGTGTCGCTGTCAGCGAAAAGTAAAATCGCAACATTGTCATTTGCACAGTTTCGTACATTGTGCTAATTGAAGGGCACGTTTCAGCTGTAAGGCAGTTTTGTTTAAAACACCTCAAAGTCGAACTCTGATTCAGGTCATTTAGGTGATATTCCATCAGGAAAAAATAGTGTCTTTCCTGTTTCAAGGATTTCATTCAAACCAGCATTAGTTGATTTTTTCTTTTTAAAGTGGACCTATCATGCTATATTTGAATAATATAGTGTAGGACCATACCTATATAAGGCATATTTATACTTTTTTTTTTCAAATACCAAACAGATCATGCATTTTAGCCATGCCTCATTTTGACTCAATTTGACATTTTTTAGACCTGTTTTAGCAAGGGTTGATTCTGTGAGAACAGCACCATCTAGAGGCCCTGGCATATGTACTACAACGTCTCCCAGCGCTTTCGAACGGCATGCCGTGGTTGTCCTCCTCCTGATTGGTGGAGTTGGCCAATAGCCGTAGCGCCACTGTCCTGGACATCAGGAAAGTGTTCAAATCTGGATCAGTTTTGATCAGATCCGGTTGCCAGCCCCTTTTTTAGAGATTTGGGTATGGAGGAAACTAGAGAGGGTTGTGTTTCTGACACTTGGTTGAGTTCCCTGGAACACCGGGGACACATATTCATGTGTAAAAGACGTACAAAAGTGCATTTTGCATGATAGGTCCCCTTTAAATTGTTCTAGTGCCACCTCCCTTGTTTTGCCCTTACTTGTTTGGTTGTGTGTGTGTCATTGTGAATCCAGCCCTATTTCAATATTTCTTGTGGCTTTCAGCTTCTTTGTCTGTGTTTTTTCTTGTTTCTGTACCTGATGCGTTCCTTGAGAACTTTCCGATCTCAGTGTCATTTTTTCCCCTCAGTCTTTCATAAAGGCCTTTTTTTCGCTTTGATGTGGGCTTTTTACTTCTACAATAATTAAAGATGGCAATTCGGTCTCCGTAGGAGGGGATGTATTTTTGAAGAGTGGCATCATCCATAAGGCCAATGACGTCGCTGTCAATCTGCAAAGAAGAAAGAAAAGAAAACACAAGCAAGTTTGTGCACATTGTATAACTATTGTCAACCCTTGTACATACGTTGTATAGATATACTATTTTGCCATTTCGCAGACCAAATCAGTCCTGTTCATAATACAAAACATTCATGAATTTTCAGAATATTAACCCTTAAAAAGCCAGTTTTTGCCATGATGGTACTGTTGTCACAGAAACTACTAGTTTCCCTGTTTACCCTAAAGTTTATAACCTTTACATAAGTATAACCCTTAAAAGTGTTTTTAACTTGTTCCAAGAGGCAAATAAATATGATTGTGGACATCAGTTCGATGCGTAACATTATTTTAAGACCAGAGTAGTTACACTCAGTAACGTTAGAGACTGACATGATACGCAGCAACACATACTAGATCAAATTACCAACATTGTCCTGCTGTTTTAATTCCCCTTCAGACAGTACATCAGGATTCATATTCATATGCTGATAATTCTGTGATTGTGGGGGTAAAAGGACAATGGCCCAAACCCCTGTGGTAACAATGCTACAGTACCGAGAGGGTTATACTGGGCGAATTTTGGGTATATATATAGCAACTACCCTCCTTGCGTTGTACTTTGGACCACTGATCTCTAAACTGTTACAGGCAAAATAATTTGAAGTAATGACAGCCAAAAAAAGTATGGAAGTATGGCCGATATGTTTTTCCCGCCAGGCAGGTGAGCGGTAGCTGTCAGGCTCTCAGCTAGCTGCTAGCTGCCTTGTTAAACACACTTAATGAAATCTCTACAGAAACATGAAACCACCAGGCTGTTGCTCTTGGTTAGTCGTCACTGTTCCAACAAGCCACAAACTTGCGTGTCAACGAACTAAACCATTATTTACCGAATTAGATGGGGGGGGGGGAAGCACATAGCATATAAGCTAATGCACTTGCTGCTAGCTCATCAATGTCTGCATTTTCACATTCACATTCTAACGCCTTTTCGTTGTTTTTTACGAAGGCCCAAAACACACTTATATATTTATAACTCACCTTTTGTTCTTCCATTTGCAATATGGTTTCCTCTTGGACCCCTCTGGCACGCAGAAATTCACTCACGTCCTCCATTGTTGCCTACTGCAATGTGTAAGTCTCTCACTGAAGCTGGTTCTCTACAGTTACCGGTATTTCTTCTGACTTTAAAGTCCGAATTTTGAGATTAAAGTCAGAATTCTGACTTTTTTCTCCCAAAAAAGAATAATATTTGTTTGTTCTGAGAAAAAAAGTCAGAATTCTGAGAAAAAAGTCAGAATTGTTTTTTCTCAAATCCTCCTAATTTTTTTTTAATGTGGCCCTAATCCTCTTCCGTAAAAGTACATGGGTTGAGAAGTAGTTATTTAATTTAATCTGGCTTTGTATGATTAAAAGTAGTGATGTGTCGGTCGCAAACGAGCCAATTATTTGATTAGTTATTTTTATCGTTCAATCGTTGGTCCGCACTCACTGCCTGCCAAAATCCACTCGCCTTTTAAAAAGCTTGATTTTGTTCCCCAAATGTATTCTGTGAAGACCCGCCCCTACTCTGATTGGTAGGTTTCAGCACGAGGAGTGAGATGGGGTGGGTCTTAACGGTCTTAACGGAATACGCGAGATAAGAGAGAGAGGTCATAACAAGTGGTACAGGACAGGTAGACGACGTGTTTTTCGGATGGAAAATGAGCCAAAACGCGAAAACGCAGCAGCATTTGGATGCACTTCAACCAAAACCCAGGCAGTGATAAAGCACACCATTTGTAAAGGCAAAATATCCTTTAAAGCAGGGTCAACAAATAATCTCCATCGCCACTTAAAAACACAGCATCCGACGGTGCAAGTGGCCGAGTTGAGACAACAAGGTTCCAACAATAATGACGGAGACGGCGCCAGTGCTTCTCAAGCAGCAAGCAGGCCATAGGCCAGGAGCAGCTCATCTCCTGTTTTTGACAAAGCAGCTCACAGATTCATCTCTATTTTTTTTTACTCTGTTTTTATAATACTTTAAATATTGTTCAGAAGTAGTTTTCCTATTTATTCCTAAATGTTTTTGGTGTTGTTGTTCGATTTGCTCTAAAATCTGTTTTGCACAAAAGTTTATTATACTTGTTTTTTTTAACGGCTCTTTGAAAGGAACGGAGCCATAAGATCCGGCTCCCTTCAAGAGCCATAATTCCCATCACTAATTAAAAGCAACACGATCATCGACCCCAACGCCGTTGGGGAGAAATCAGCGACGTCAGGATAGAAGGTCAGGATGCTCTCTATGGTGCACCTGTAAGAAGGTCAGGACGCTCTCTATGGTGCACCTGTAGAAGGTCAGGATCCTCTCTATGGTGCCACCTGTAGAAGGTCAGGATGCTCTCTATGCTGCACCTGTAGAAGGTCAGGATGCTCTCTATGGTGCACCTGTAGAAGGTCAGGATGCTCTCTATGGTGCACCTGTAGTAGGTCAGGATGCCTCTCTATGGTGCACCTGTAGAAGGTCAGGATGCTCTCTATGGTGCACCTGTAGAAGGTCAGGACGCTCTCTATGGTGCACCTGTAGAAGGTCAGGATCCTCTCTATGGTGCACCTGTAGAAGGTCAGGTATGCCTCTCTATGCTGCGCCTGTAGAAGGTCAGGATGCTCTCTATGGTGCACCTGTAGAAGGTCAGGATGCTCTCTATGGTGCACCTGTAGAAGGTCAGGATGCTCTCTATGGTGCACCTGTAGAAGGTCAGGATGCTCTCTATGGTGCACCTGTAGAAGTTGCAGAGTATCCTGGAGTCCATGTTGAACCTCTGCAGCCTGCGGAGGAAGAAGAGCCGCTGTCGAGCTTTCTTGGTGATGGTGTTTGTCTGAAGAGTCCATGTCAGGTCCTCAGTGATGTGGACACAGAGGAACCTGAAGCTGCTGACTCTCTCCATGTAGTCCCATTGATGGCGATGTGGGCGTGTCCCTCTCTCTGCTGCTTCCTGTAATCCACAATAAGCTCCTTGGTTTGCTGACGTTGAGATGGAGGTTGTTCTCCTGGCAGCAAGATGTCATGGTTCTGACCTCCTCTCTCAATATTTTGTATTTTCTGCATTGCTTTTATTTTGTCTACTTTATACTAATTTGACTATATAACTGCTGAGAAGCACTTTTCATGCATTTCTTGTATGAAAGGTGCTATACAAATATAAGGCTTATTATTAATTTGAATATTATTATCAAGGATTGGTCAATTCCAAGATTGCCTTGAAAGAGCTGCAAATAAAAACGGTCTACATTAAACAGTGACCCACTGACACCATCGCAGGTTTATAGTCTCTGAACATCTTTAAACTGAAATACGGTACGAGATCTCGCCTCGCAGCTGCACACGCCTGGGGCAGAGTACATCCGTACTCAAGACAAAACTTGCTCTAGTCCAAGTCCGATCGCAAATGTCCGAGTCCAGTCCAAGTCGGAATCCATCCCTGCACGAGTCTGAGTCGAGTCACATGTCCCAAAAATCGGTACTCCAAGTCTGACACACAAACACACACACATCGTAAAATACCATATTTAGGCCTGTCTGCAGCTCCACAATTGTTCCAAATTATATTTTTGCATAATTTGTCTTAACTGCGATTTGGATATTACACTACTCCATAATGCCCTTTCAATAAAACTAACATTAATTGTGCATCCCTTGCTCAGTGGCATTTATTTTCAACGCATTGAAGGAAAAGACCTGACAACGTTTATAACTAACCACGTGTCTGTGCGCCCTGCAGGGTGGAGGTGTGGCCTGAGGAGGGCCAGTCTCTGGGTCTGAGCATCGTGGGAGGTCATCAGGTCATCAAGCGTCTGAAGAACGGAGAGGAACTGAAGGGGATCTTCATCAAACAGGTGTTAAAGAACAGCCCTGCTGCCAAAACACAGTGTCTGAAGACTGGGGACAAGATCCTTGAGGTACGAGGGCTGGGTATTCATTTGTACTTACCATGTGCGCTTCTCTCGGCTATAACTTGGAAAAAAATTAAATTAAATGATGGGTTTGAAAACAGATTTTGCTGTGAAATCATTACTTACTGAAATGACTGTCCGGCTTTCAAACATCATCCCTATACACTATAATAGATCAACCTACTATTAAAACATATAAACATATTCTGAATACATTATACACGTTTGCAAAGTTTGAAGAACCAGAGAAGGCAAGTCAAGGCAAGTTCATTTATATAGCAACTTTCAACATAAGGACATTCAAAGGGCTTTTCGCAAAGACTAGGAATGCAGGTAAAGGTTGACAAAATAAGGTTTTATTTACCCAAAATATATGTACAGTTTTTAGGATGGGTAACACAATCAATTAGGATGAAAAGAAAGTGAATTATTTATAATATAAACAGACACAATCTAGAATCTAGCATTCATTTATAAACAAAACATTTGCCAAAATGGGTGACATGCAAAATGCTCTTCTTCCCAAGAGTAACTGTCTTTCTCTCCACACTGCAGGAATGTATACCAATGCTGGCGAGTCCCTTGTTGAGTGCAGGGGAGAGAAGACTTTAAAGATGGGTGGCTTAGATAAAGTAGCCTCTTAAACACCCCTCAAGGTTTTAGGGGAATGACACAGTCCAAGCCAGGTGCATCGACATAGGCAGGTGCTGTTCATCAGCTCAGCCGTTTGCCAGGAGCAAGGTGAGCTGGAAGACACTGACAATACTAGGATTAACACAACACACAATTAACAATCACCATTTCAAACAAGATTGCGTGCACTCAATCTAGTAAAATAAAGTTGTTTAAAAAAGAAATAAGATTCAAAGACTCAAGATTCAAAGGTTTTATTGTCATATGCACATAAGCTACAGTGTAGAAATGGCAATGAAATTCTTCTGACCCGAGCTCTTCCAACGATGCAACATATATATTAAAATACAAAAAAACAAATAAAAAATAGTGCAAGAAGTCTATGTAAATAGAATATGATGTATACAAGAACAGAATATGAAATTATATATTGTACATTAAGACGAAATTAAATACGGTTTAGAGTCTTACAGTTGAGGGCGGTGCAGCTGCCGTACCAGGCCGTGATGCAGCCAGTCAGGATGCTCTCTATGGTGCACCTGTAGAAGGTCAGGGTCCTCTCTATGGTGCACCTGTAGAAGGTCAGGATGCTCTCTATGGTGCACCTGTAGGAGGTCAGGATGCTCTCTATGGTGCACCTGTAGAAGGTCAGGATGCTCTCTATGGTGCACCTGTAGAAGGTCAGGGTCCTCTCTATGGTGCACCTGTAGAAGGTCAGGATGCTCTCTATGGTGCACCTGTAGAAGGTCAGGGTCCTCTCTATGGTGCACCTGTAGAAGGTCAGGATGCTCTCTATGGTGCACCTGTAGAAGGTCAGGGTCCTCTCTATGGTGCACCTGTAGAAGGTCAGGATGCTCTCTATGGTGCACCTGTAGGAGGTCAGGATGCTCTCTATGGTGCACCTGTAGAAGGTCAGGATGCTCTCTATGGTGCACCTGGAGAAGGTCAGGATCCTCTCTATGGTGCACCTGTAGAAGGTCAGGATACTCTCTATGGTGCTCCTGTAGAAGGTCAGGATGCTCTCTATGGTGCACCTGTAGAAGGTCAGGATGCTCTCTATGGTGCACCTGTAGAAGGTCAGGATGCTCTCTATGGTGCACCTTTAGAAGGTCAGGATGCTCTCTATGGTGCACCTGTAGAAGGTCAGGATGCTCTCTATGGTGCACCTGTAGAAGGTCAGGATGCTCTCTATGGTGCACCTGTAGAAGGTCAGGATGCTCTCTATGGTGCACCTGTAGAAGGTCAGGATGCTCTCTATGGTGCACCTGTAGAAGGTCAGGATGCTCTCTATGGTGCACCTGTAGAAGGTCAGGATGCTCTCTATGGTGCACCTGTAGGATGCCTGTAGAAGTTGCAGAGTATCCTGGAGTCCATGTTGAACCTCCACAGCCTGCGGAGGAAGAAGAGTGTGATGAGTCGATGTCAGGTCCTCAGTGGTTGGTTGTGATGCTTGTAGCCTTCACACAAAGTAATTGAAGTTTTTAAATACAATTTTAAGGCAAGTTGTATTTTTGAGGATCCATTTTATCATTGAAAAATTAGAGTGCTCTCTGCAAATCCAAAATATTAATAAACCTCAAGTCTCAATATTTAAGAAAGTAAAAGTGAGGTGTGCACAATCATTGGGTGGACTATTAGTGTGCAGAACTAATATGCAACTAAAGGAAAAATGAAAACTCACTTGTTTATTTTCATCTGTTAAAGTGAGAATAATAAACAAACAACTAAAAATGTACAAATAAAAATGTCTGAGATAAAAAAAACAGTAATGAATGACTCTTCTCTTCAATAACAATCACGAGCCTTCCATTCATGGAGTCTGTCAGTTTCTGGATCTGTGGACGATCAACCACAGCCTCCTCACAGCTAGCCACGCAGAGGAGCACTTCGATGCATGCGATGGAGCATTGTCCTGCATAAAATCATGGTCTTCTTTTTGTGTCTTCTAAAGTGTGTTCTAAAAACTGGCAGCAGGGTTGGGAGTTGATTTTGAGTCAACCCTCACTTCTTCAACCTGAAAAGGCCAAACTAGCTCATCTTTAGTAATACATGCACCACCTCCACCTTGCTGGGGTCTGAGTGGAAGTGGAGCTCTGGGCCCGGTACTGATCCAGCCACCCATCCATCTGGTCCGTCCAGAGTCACCCTCATCTCATCAGTCCAGAAAACCTTTGACAAATCTGTCTTCAGATGTTTCTTGGCCTAGTCTTGATCTCATGTGTCTTGTTCAGTGGTGGTTTCAGCCTTCCTTCCCTATGCCATGTCTCTGAACACCTGAGACTTCTGGGCCCTCAGGTAGGTCACAGTTCTGGAGTATGACGGCACTGGAGGATAATGGCTTCCTAGTGCTTCACGTTTGATTCTTCTCAGATCTTTGGCACTTCATTTGCGTCTTTTTGTCTCAACACGTTTCTTGCGACCCTGTTGTCTATTTGCAACAAAACCGTTGATTGTTTTGTGATCACGCCCCAATATCTTAGATATGTCAAGCTGCATCCCTCTGAAATACTTTTAAAATGTTTGACTTCAGTTAAATCTCTTTTTTGGCCCATTTTACCTGAGGAAAAGAAGCTGCTAATAGTTCTGCACACATTGATATAGGGTGTTGATCTCATTAGATCACCCTCCCTCATTACACACATACTGTACACATCAGCTGATATGCTTAACTCCAATACGCATTCAAGTTTATACAGCTTGGAGTTGGACAATATGAGCAACAATGATGATATGGTCAAACTACTCACTTGACTAACAATTGTGCACACAGTATATACAAATGAATAAATGAGGATTATTGAAAGGGAAAAGTCCAGTAAGAAACAAAAGAGAAACTAAAATAATGCTTTGAGCTCTTTGAGGGACGTGAGACAGAGGGTTAGTGCTTTTGGCGGGAAATATTTCCTGGATCTGTCCATCAGACAGCTGAGCTAAACCCTGAAATGATGGGTTTTGAAAGATTGCAATGACTTCTTTAGATTAGTTTTTCCTTTTATCTTCAACGGGTAAAGTGTTTGGCTTGATATTTGAGCGCTGGCTGATGTTTGTGTGCAGGTGTCAGGTGTTGACCTACGAGTGGCCAGTCATGAGGAGGCGGTGAATGCCATCAAATCAGCTCCGAGCCCCGTGGTCTTCATCGTCCAGAGCCTGTCCACCACTCCACGGGTAAAAACACACACACACACACACACACACACACACACACACACACACACACACACACACACACACACACACACACACACACACACACACACACACACACACACACACACACACAGTAGAGCTTTATTATACAGGATGAACAGTACTGGAGGAGGGGGGAATAAAATCCTCCCTGCAAACCTTTCTAATATAACTCGCGGTTCAGTAACGATGATCACCTTACATACCTAAATGGATGAAAGTAGTAGAATTAAAAACCCAGAGACCTATAAGATGAAATGCCATGATGAATTAACACTGTTGGTGTTGGTGTTGCAGTTTAAAAAATCAGCTGTTCTTCAAGGACAGGGCGAGTGATAAAACCAGGAACTGTCCAGCTTCCTTATATTGGAGGCTGACTGAAAAGCATCTGAGGCAATCTGATAGTAGGTTGAAAATATTTGATTGTGGGCAGCTCACACTGCAGAGCTGGGGACCTTTATACCGAGGCCCGGTCCCCTTGCGAAGGACCCGGGTTTGAATCGGGCCTGGGACCAATTGCTGCGTTAATCCCCTCCTTTCAGCACTGTCGCTTCAGTAATGGCACAATAATATATTAAATTACAGCTCTGGAGAAAATGAAGAGACCACTGCAGCATTATCAGTTTCTCTAATTTGACTATTTATAGGTATGTGTTTGAGTAAAATGAAAACATTTTTATTTTATTCTATTACATTACGTTACATATCATTTACTGTAGCTGACGCTTTTATCCAAAGCAACTTTACAGTAAGTGCAAAAACCATAAAGAATCAAACTCTGAACAACATGAAAAGTGCAGATATATTCACTTCAAGCAAGATCATACCATAGTAAGTACTGGTGAATTAGTAACAAGGCCTAAATTAACTCAAAAAGTACTTTTAAAAAGAAATGTTCAGCAATAACTTCATTGCCAAGGTTCACTCAAAATAGATGCGTTTTCAGTTTGCGATGGAAGATATGCAGAGTTTCTGCTGTCCTGATCCATTTAGGAGCCAGGAGAGCAAACGGGTGTGTTTTTTGAGGGGTGCCTGGGTCCCACTCGCAGTGATGGAGTAGCAAGCCGATTGGCTGACGCACGTGCTGGAGTATATGGTGTAACCAAACTACTGACTACATTTCTATGTATTGGAACTCAACAGACACGGGATGGCTGCCATACTTGTAGAGATTGAGATTTAAGAATAATGTGGAGTGGTCTCCACATTCAGAGCTTTATATGTGTGTGTATATATATATATATATATATATATATATATATATATATATATATATATATATATATATATACTTTAAAATACCAGGACATTGTTCTGGAACACAGCAGCTCATTGTGTCTGTTATTATTCATGTGTGATGCATACATCCTCAATAAACTACAATATGTCCAAAACTCCCTTGCCCGTATGCTCACCTTCACCCCACGCTCCGACCACATCACCTCTATCCTCCACTGGCTCCCCATCAAACACCGGATTGACTTCAAAATATTACTTCTCACCTACAAAACCATAAACAACCTTGCCCCCCCCCCCATTTTACTCTGCACATGGATTAGGACTATTGTGTATGTTTTCTTTGTTTTGTTTCTGATTTTTTGCAAAGTGTTTTTGAACATTAGGAAAAGCGCTATTCAAGAGGCTTTTATTGTAATGTGTACATAGCTACAGTGTAGTTATGACAATGACATTCTTAGGTCACAGACTCATCCAACAGTGAAACACAATGAAACGGATAATAGTGCAAGTAAATAAAATAAAATATAATATAATATAAATTGTGCAGAATAGTCTATATACAAGTAATTGGAATATTGATATATATAAGTATAAGTTACAACCAGATGAATGTTATGGATGTTCTTTCAAAGGTTCAGGTGTTTAACATTCTTATGGCCTGTGGGATGAAACTGTCTCTGAGACACACACACTTAGGGCACAGTACACAATATGATCATTGCACACTTAAGTCTTACGTGTGTGTGTGTGTGTGTGTGTGTGTGTGTGTGTGTGTGTGTGTGTGTGTGTGTGTGTGTGTGTGTGTGTGTGTGTGTGTGTGTGTGTGTGTGTGTGTGTGTGTGTGTGTGTGTGTGTGTGTGTGTGTGTGTGTGTGTGTGTGTGTGTGTGTGTGTGTGTGTGTGTGTGTGTGTGTGTGTGTGTGTGTGTGTGTGTGTGTGTGTGTCTCAGCCTGTGTCTCTAACAGCTCCCAGCTACAAAAAACACAAATCAACGAGGACTGAGTCTCCGGTAAGAAAAGGGACTTCCTCACTGTTGGTGTCCTGCAGAGTCAGTGGTGTTTATTCAATTTGTCTGGGTGTTTAAATCCAAATCACATTTCATAAATGCAAAACTAAAAAAGATTCAAACTGATGTAGTTGAGGTCCATCAGAGTGAGTCCAGCAGAGGGCGGCACACCCTCAGCACACTGAGGCATTCCTCTCGCTCTCTAACACAAACACTGAATAACAGGCACTCCATTCCTGCAGGTGCCAGCCCCCCCCCCTCTGAGACAACTCCCTCCCTACAGACCTCCCAGCCACTCGGATCAGGAGCTGAACTCTGACCTGGAACAGGCCAAAGGTCAGTAACCCACACGCACACACACACACCCCCCCCACACACACACACGCAAACCCCACACACGCACACACACACACAAACCCCCCCCACACACACGCACACACAATGTTGATGTCTTAATGATGATGATGATGATACTTTAATTAGCCTGGAGTTTTTGTTTTTTCACAGAGGCTTCATTTGCAACTTAAAAAATTACAAAATATTGAATAAAAAGCTAAGGTGCGTCTCCAATCACAGCAGACAATACAGTATAATCGAAACCCTTTAACATACACTTGATCCGAGATTCAGCTCCGTGTTTCTTTCTTTGATTGACTGTTCCACAAACGAGTGCATTAACCTAACCCTTTGAAATGGTGGGACGTCTGCACGTCTGGTTTCATTCTAACAGTTAGTATTGGTGATTCAGGACATTATTGGGGTCATAGACAATGTCTTTGGCCAGCATTGATATGTTTTAATGGTAAGCTGCTTGATAGAGCTTCTGAATGGGGTTGACCTACAATTTATTTTTCATATTGTGGAGCAACTTAAACAATGTTTGCTCTCGGCTAAAATTGATAATAATTTGAGGAAACTTGAGCAGCAGCACAGAAACATGATACCCAAAGCTTTCAGAACACACAAACACATCCTGCATCCACAGGATCCCCAGGGGCCGTCCTAAAGTTATATACGGATGTTCTTCTGTAATAATAGTGTCTTGTGTTTGTGTGTTTCTACTGCATGTAGGGATTTCTTCAGTTGTTCCTATGTTTTCTTTTGTGAGCATCATTCACCTGTCTTAAGCTTTCTCTTTATTTGTTAGGGGGTCTGCTCCCTGTGAGAAGCTTCTTTATAATAATCAACGCTCTACTATTCCTAAGGAAAGTTATTCCAATTATTTTGAGATTTTTGAGGAACTTGCTTTTTTGATGACCTCTCTGTACTCTGGGGTGACTGTACATCCTGTTGAGGTTATTCAAAGTCCTAGAAAAGTGAACTCATGAACTAACAGTTTACATTTGAGTGAAACAGTTTGAGTCGCTTCAGATCTCCCTCTTCTAGTTTAAAGTGCTGCTCCTCGCATTGTGTGCAGGATACATCCTGGAAAGTCTTTTGAGCGTGAAGTTGTGTGTGTGTGTGTGTGTGTGTGTGTGTGTGTGTGTGTGTGTGTGTGTGTGTGTGTGTGTGTGTGTGTGTGTGTGTGTGTGTGTGTGTGTGTGTGTGTGTGTGTGTGTGTGTGTGTGTGTGTGGTGTGTGTGTGTGTGTGTGTGTGTGTGTGTGTGTGTGTGTGTGTGTGTGTGTGTGTGTGTGTGTGTGTGTGTGTGTGTGTGTGTGTGTGTGTGTGTGTGTGTGTGTGTGTGTGTGTGTGTGTGTGACTTCTAAATGTGACCATCTACTGTCCCTTTGAAGAAAGAAATGGAGAGAGGCGTGTGTTTTGGTTACTTAAATATAAATATTTACACATTTGACATCAGTGTTGCAGTGTCTTAAAATGTTTAAGATCGCATTGTATCTCAGTAATATATCATTTATATGTACAAATACTGTATGTCAGTTCACTTTAAAGTATTCCAGTGTCTCAAGAGTTTTCTTGGGGGTTCTCAGAGTATGTGAGAGTGCCTCAGTGTGTCCGAGTATCTTAGTAGCAGTGAGTGTGTCAGTAGTGTGCTTTAGTTTAAGTCAAAGTGTCTCATTGCATCTCATTTACGTCAGAGTATCACTTCTCTCAGTGTATGGGTCTCAGTGTGTTTCACTGTATCTCACAGTTCATGTTGCTGTGTGTTGTAGTGTGAGGTAGCCGGCAGTGTGTTAATGTGTGTGTTCTTGTCTTTGCAGGACTTGTTTGAACCAGCAGTCCCTCCGTCCCGTGTTACAGCACAGAGTGGAGGAACGTCTTTCCTCTCATTCCTCCCCTCTCTCTCGATCTTTCTCTCTGGTGTCTGGGTTTCCTCTGGCTCTCTATAGTGCGTTTGGTTTGGTTTTGGTGCGTCTGAACGGGAAGGCGGGGCTTTGAGGGTTGTTTCTTCTGGCTGCTGGCTGGATGGTTTAGCTTTTGTGAAAGGATGATTTCATGGGTTTGGAGCTCTTTGGTTTGAATGGGTGTGGTGTTTGAAGCTGTTTGGTGAAAGGTGTTCCTCTGACTGGATTCACTCTAACATCTGATGTTCTTTCTGAGGTGAAATAACTTTTAATTCTGGACTTTTGTAGCAATTAAATTATTTAAATGTCTTTGATATATTAGAGGAATTTGGAGATCTTTGACAGCTATAAGCTGAAGTAGTGCATGTGTACTGTATCAAGTACAACCCAACTACAAATAACTGTATAGAATGATCAGAACTTCCCCTGCTATGTTTGCGGACTATGCAGCGAGCAAAACACCTTTGTATGTTGTTCATATAAACAGCCTTTATAGTTATTAAAATAAGAGGACTTAATTGAAAATAATGAATTTCCACGAGTTCATTTGGATATTGATTCACACAGAATTCAATTGTATGTATGTCTGGACATTTTTATGTTACAAATGTGTATGCAGCAGAGGTCATTTCTCACAAAGCCTTTAATAAAATCAAGAAAGCTGTTTAAATGTTGTGTTAAAATGTGATGTCTTTGTTGTTCAGGCACAGCTGCAGTTACATCTATTTATCATGGTTGTTCTTTTAAGTTGCAATATTTGACTTTAACTGCAGATGTGACAAAGTGCTAATACAAATATGGTTTTGCTGAAGAAAACTTCCTTTTCTAAACAACAAGCACTAAAGTCTTTGGCAGAGTTAGGATTCATTTCCAAGCTAAAGCTGTGAAAGCCAATTGTTATGATCTCAGACTCCTGGGGCCTATACTACGAAGCAGGATTTTCGTTTAGCGAGCTAACTTCCTGGATTTCCAGTCCTACGAAGCTGGTTCACTTCTTAGCGGGCAAGATAACTTATTCTGAACGGCTAGCCTCCGGAGCAGGATAGGTTCCAGGATAAAAGCACTGCCTGCTGACCAATCAGAGCTCAGTGTGCGGAGTTTAAAGCGATCAATTCATATGACAGGAGAAAGGAAATACAGTTTAAACTGCCGTTGCAGGAAAGACGGCCGGCCAAAATCACGGACTGTGAACGTGAAAATGAATAGAATATCCCCTCCCATCTTCAGAGCAATCTGACTATTATAACATTAGCGTTAAGAAAGCTTACTTAAATATCTGCCACAACATAAGTAACCGGATCAGAGTAACATTACGTACAGTCCGCGGCACTGTGAGTGCAGACGGCGATGTGTCCCATTATCATTCATATCATATCACATCATAATGTATCATATATTTCCTTATCTGAGTCAGCTTCTTGAGCCGTATCTGGCCGTGCAACACTCACAGTGTCACATACTGTATGCAGAAGTATTATTTTAAGCAACACATTAAGTTGACGAAACACTCAAGTCAAATGTAATTAAAGTCAGATCCACTCGTGTCGGGGCAGCAGTGATTTCATAAAACTGTTAATGAACGTATTCAAACACTTTTTCTGTTACCAGCTGTATTCACCTTGCAGCTGCAGCTATGTGGCTTTTATCCTGGATAAAGTGTTTAAGTCATGGATGTTTAAAGTTTAACGTCTTCATATATGTCTAATATTAGTTGACTTTTCATTCAGGAAGTATGACGCTGCGCTGTCAGTAAACGGCTTGTCCATGTTTGAGATTGGTCGAATGCTCCAAATACCACCCCTTTCATGTGAACGCGCACCTAACTAGATAGGACACGGCTGGCTTGAGCGATCCACTTGATAACCAGCGTCGTAGGACAGTTTAGCGAGAGCGGGTTTTTTTTGGGATTAAGTCAACCGGATAACTCAAACATATCCAGGTTATGTTGAACTAGATTCGTAGTATAGGCCCCTGGAGTGTCTGGTCTTTAGCCTCTTCTTTAGGGACAGCTGAAGCTCTCCTCGTCAACAGGAAATGGTGGTAGTCGATTTTAAGATTCAAGACTCATGGCTTTATTGTCATGTGCACAGTAGCTACATTGTAGATATGGCAATGAGAAACTTAAGTCCCAGGCTCCTCCAACAATGCAACATGTTTTAGGACATAAAACAAATCAAACCAATACAAATAGTGAAATAAATAACAATAGAAATTAAAGCTGCAAGCAACGATGAGCGAGCGATTACAATAGGGTCTTCGCCGACCTCTGGTCTCAGACCCTAATAAAACAGTGCAAGAGAGTCTATATAAATGTAAATGGTATATAATATATAGATAAATAATATGCAAAATGCAAGCGGATGAATGTTATGGATGTTCTTTACAGAGTTCAGGTGTTTAATAGTCTTCTGGCCTGTGGGATGAAACTGCCCGAGTCTGGTGGTTTTAGTCCTGAAGCTGCGGTACCGCCTGCCAGACGGCAGCAGACAGAACAGTTTGTGGCTGGGGTGATGGGTCAGTCAGGATCCTCTCTATGGTGCACCTGTAGAAGGTCAGGATCCTCTCTATGGTGCACCCGTAGAAGGTCAGGATGCTCTCTATGGTGCACCCGTAGAAGGTCAGGATGCTCTCTATGGTGCACCTGTAGAAGGTCAGGATGCTCTCTATGGTGCACCTGTAGAAGGTCAGGATGCTCTCTATGGTGCACCTGTAGAAGGTCAGGATCCTCTCTATGGTGCACCTGTAGTAGGTCAGGATCCTCTCTATGGTGCACCTGTAGTAGGTCAGGATGCTCTCTATGGTGCACCTGTAGAAGGTCAGGATGCTCTCTATGGTGCACCTGTAGAAGGTCAGGATGCTCTCTATGGTGCACCTGTAGAAGGTCAGGATGCTCTCTATGGTGCACCTGTAGAAGGTCAGGATGCTCTTTATCACCTGTAGAAGGTCAGGATGCTCTCTATGGTGCTCCTGTAGAAGGTCAGGATGCTCTCTATGGTGCACCTGTAGTAGGTCAGGATCCTCTCTATGGTGCACCTGTAGAAGGTCAGGATCCTCTCTATGGTGCACCTGTAGTAGGTCAGGATCCTCTCTATGGTGCACCTGTAGAAGGTCAGGATGCTCTCTATGGTGCACCTGTAGAAGGTCAGGATGCTCTCTATGGTGCACCTGTAGAAGGTCAGGATGCTCTCTATGGTGCACCTGTAGAAGGTCAGGATCCTCTCTATGGTGCACCTGTAGTAGGTCAGGATCCTCTCTATGGTGCACCTGTAGTAGGTCAGGATCCTCTCTATGGTGCACCTGTAGAAGGTCAGGATGCTCTCTATGGTGCACCTGTAGAAGGTCAGGATGCTCTCTATGGTGCACCTGTAGGAGGTCAGGATGCTCTCTATGGTGCACCTGTAGAAGGTCAGGATGCTCTCTATGGTGCACCTGTAGAAGGTCAGGATGCTCTTTATCACCTGTAGAAGGTCAGGATGCTCTCTATGGTGCACCTGTAGAAGGTCAGGATGCTCTCTATGGTGCACCTGTAGAAGGTCAGGATCCTCTCTATGGTGCACCTGTAGAAGGTCAGGATGCTCTCTATGGTGCACCTGTAGAAGGTCAGGATGCTCTCTATGGTGCACCTGTAGAAGGTCAGGATCCTCTCTATGGTGCACCTGGAGAAGGACAGGATACTCTCTATGGTGCACCTGTAGAAGGTCAGGATGCTCTCTATGGTGCACCTGTAGAAGGTCAGGATGCTCTCTATGGTGCACCTGTAGAAGGTCAGGATACTCTCTATGGTGCACCTGTAGTAGGTCAGGATCCTCTCTATGGTGCACCTTTAGAAGGTCAGGATGCTCTCTATGGTGCACCTGTAGGAGGTCAGGATCCTCTCTATGGTGCACCTGTAGAAGGTCAGGATGCTCTCTATGGTGCACCTGTAGAAGGTCAGGATGCTCTCTATGGTGCACCTGTAGGAGGTCAGGATGCTCTCTATGGTGCACCTGTAGAAGGTCAGGATGCTCTCTATGGTGCACCTGTAGGAGGTCAGGATGCTCTCTATGGTGCACCTGTAGAAGGTCAGGATGCTCTCTATGGTGCACCTGTAGAAGGTCAGGATGCTCTCTATGGTGCACCTGTAGAAGGTCAGGATGCTCTTTATCACCTGTAGAAGGTCAGGATGCTCTCTATGGTGCACCTGTAGAAGGTCAGGATGCTCTCTATGGTGCACCTGTAGAAGGTCAGGATCCTCTCTATGGTGCACCTGTAGAAGGTCAGGATGCTCTCTATGGTGCACCTGTAGAAGGTCAGGATGCTCTCTATGGTGCACCTGTAGAAGGTCAGGATCCTCTCTATGGTGCACCTGGAGAAGGACAGGATACTCTCTATGGTGCACCTGTAGAAGGTCAGGATGCTCTCTATGGTGCACCTGTAGAAGGTCAGGATGCTCTCTATGGTGCACCTGTAGAAGGTCAGGATACTCTCTATGGTGCACCTGTAGTAGGTCAGGATCCTCTCTATGGTGCACCTTTAGAAGGTCAGGATGCTCTCTATGGTGCACCTGTAGGAGGTCAGGATCCTCTCTATGGTGCACCTGTAGAAGGTCAGGATGCTCTCTATGGTGCACCTGTAGAAGGTCAGGATGCTCTCTATGGTGCACCTGTAGGAGGTCAGGATGCTCTCTATGGTGCACCTGTAGAAGGTCAGGATGCTCTCTATGGTGCACCTGTAGAAGGTCAGGATCCTCTCTATGGTGCACCTGTAGAAGGTCAGGATGCTCTCTGGTGCCCCTGTAGAAGGTCAGGATGCTCTCTGGTGCACCTGTAGAAGGTCAGGATGCTCTCTATCACCTGTAGAAGGTCAGGATACTCTTTTATTTTTTTTACATTTTGGATTTGCTTGGCGAGCTACTTATTGAGGGCTTGCGAGCTACCGGTAGATCGCGATCAACATGTTGGAGACCCCTGCTCTAGACTGATTCTAAAACAGTAAAGGGGCTGAGATAAGGTAATGGATCCCTCATAGTGTCTTGTTCTTGGTAAAGCCTAAAGCGACTGAGGTTTGGACAAACGGATGCTTGTCTCCAGCTTGGTATTGAGCGTGTATAGACTCAAACACAGATGATAGCTGATAAAACTCCTGCTAAGCACATCATGTGTGGCATCGTGCGGTATGGAGCATCTGTGTGGAGGTTTGTGCCCAAAACCTTTTTATGGCTTATTGTTGTGTTTCCTTCCAGCTGTCTGATTTAGTGAGCCCTGTTCTAGGAGGCAGTGGCGGTTCTAGACCAATTTGACTGGGGGGGGCCAGGCTGGGGCCAGATATTTTCTGAGGGGGGCACAATAAATGCCAAAAAGACAAAGACAGTATGAAGTAATTGCGCATAAGAAAACAATGCAATACAGTTATTGGTATTTGTTTCAGTACACATATTTATTTCAGATACTTATAGTTACAGTTTTCACGCTCTATAACAGGGGTCTCCAACCTTTTTTAGGATGAGAGCTACTTTCAAAAATAAAACAAGTCGTGAGCTACTTTTACTCCTCTTTTTATTGTTTTTTGCAGTGTATATATTTAGCACATTTTAACATTATTATATGCTGACCTTTAACCTTTGTGTGCTGTTTGGGTCTGTGGGACCCGTTTTCTGTGTTTACTAAAATAAATTGTATTAAATTTAATTAT